CCATACGAATGCTTTCACCCATTCCCTCTTCTCTCTTCCCGTTTAACCGGTTTGGCGGAAATTGAACGTTATTCCGTCTGATAACAAGTTTCCATATGTTGCGTAGCTCTACGCTGGCTTGGCTGAATGCGTTGTTGGACAACATTTATGCAGCTTCATTGAACTTCCTCTCAAACCAGTGTTCCTTTCTGTGGATGATGTCTATAATGGTTTATCCTCGGTGTGTGTTTCACTTTTGCTCGGCAATGCGGACTTTCAATGGTCTCTTAGTTTCACCGATATAAGATCTGCCGCACTCACAGGGAGTTGGTGAATGCAATTCTTAGAATCGCAGTCCGTGTTTGGTGGCCTATTTTTCGTGAGGCTGCTACGGATGGTATTTCCGAAGCAGGTTCTGATGATGTATTCTTCGACAAATGTCTGACGTAGGAAAGGGCAAGCTTCTCTTTCATATGATGACTTCGCTCTTTTCTAGCCAAAATCTCTGTTCCATGGAGTAACCATTCCGTTGAAGATCTTTTTTGATGATGCTTAGTTCTTTCTCGAGACCTTTCTTCATATTACAGAGCCCGAAAGCACGATCCACTATAGTCTTGATGATTCCTCTTTTGGTAGATTGGTGGTGGTTGGATTCGTGATTGAGATGCTGTCCCTTGTAAATGAGAGTTCACGGTATACAGATATTTTCCACACAGTGTCTCTCCTCTGCACCAATATGTCTAAGAATGGCAATGTGACCAGTACAGTCGACATCGTATTAGATTTTTTTTTGAATAGCTTTTTAGCATAAATTTTGCAAAAGTCAATTTTATTTCGAGAACAATTATAAAAGACATATAAGAACAAGTTTTATGAATCAAATTTCTAGCTAATATGCAAAATTACCGCTAAATAAACATGAATGCAACCTAAATAACTCTCCACTTCTTGAAATTATTTATTCTAGACACATTTTCTTCAGAATATCGCCATATTGGATGATTGTTTTTTTTTTACAAAATTCAAATATGGGTTTGAAATTCGGTCACGAGTATTTGTTTTGAATTCATCATAAGATTCCTTAAGTTTTCTAGTGAGAAGGAAATCGAAAAGCGGACCAGAGGTTGAACATAAATGAAGATTCTGAGAATGCTCCTATAGTAGAGGTTGAAAAAAATAATTCTTTCAAGAGAAAATAGTCAATAACTACAGACGAGTCACAAATCAGCAAGACAAAAACTTAAAAAGTATTGATATCGACCATTCAAGTGAGATTTGACATCATGATATATATCAAGATACTCATCTTGAATCGATATGAAACCAGAAATTTAAAAATTTGTTTATACTTTTTTGAAAGTAACACCCATTCTAGTTTCGAAATTGGATTTTGTTCATACCATAATAAATATCTTATATTGAATTATGAATGAATTCGATCTGAGACATGAGGAACAAAAAACATAAATTTTATAATAGGTTTGTTCTGGTTCTAAGAATTTCAGTTTCTAGGACGTCAGGATCATGCGCAGTTGATATAAAGCGTTTTGATTCATTGAGGATAATTTCGGACTGATGAATCCCCTGTTCTGGTTTCAACTGCGAATTGATCCTGAACTGTCTTGAACCGTCCCGAATCGTTCTTGCTCTCGATGCAGAACTGTTCCCGTTGCTCATGCGCATTCACGTGGAAATTTGTTTGGGCTATTTGCTGGGATGTTTTTTTATTTATTTGATTCAAATAACTGATGATTGAGGTTAGATAATGCTACATAACAAAATGGGCATGATCAACAGTTTCGGATGTTAGAACCAGAATAAACCTGATACCAGACAGCTCTCCTTATCTTAAAGTAAGTAGAATTATTCGAATGTGTGCTGGATATGATTTTCTACCCATATTGGAACATTTTGAAAATTCAATTGTCATAATCGGTACGGTAGCCGGTTGGCTTGGCGTAGGAGGTTTGTTTCAAATCTCAACTGTTTTTCTCAACAACTTTTTCTAGGAATTTTAGGCATTAAGTTAAATGTAGCAGTAACTTGAATGTATCAAATATGCAACAAAAAGTTAACTCTCAAGTAAGCTTTGGCAAAAACGACACGTCATAGACGAAGTCTGAAATGAAGCTCTGTTGAATGGAGAGCTAACATCAGCGGGAGCGTCATTCACTGTCCAACCATGGGACCATGAGGTGGCGTATTTGTGGGGTCATTCTGAGCTCCTCCTTTTGCGCATCCCCTTCCTCCCACAACTATCATTCTTCTTTCTCCCCGTATACCTTCATGTGGGAGCTGATCTGTTTTATGAATGGATGAATGAAGTTTTATCAAATATGTAAAAGAAATAGAAAATGGATTTTTTTTATTTTTTCGACTTCTTGTTCATTCCACTGATTCAATTGACCACAAAGTGAAACTGGTTTTAGCACACAGATTTTTTTGCAGGGACACACTTACATCCACCTTTCATTACGAATAAATGTTTTGAAATCACAAATTTCATTAAGTCAGATTTTGATTTCATACCTTTAATTATGTGATGTAATAATGATAAGATCCAAGTTTCAGTACTACTTTCAGACGTACTGAGTAGTGACGCAGCTTCACAATGTCGAATTGACACTTCAATTTTCAAAGTTTTTCAAATTTTGAAATACATTGATGATTTTTTTATATTAGGCTCCATAAATTAATTATCTCAATAAGGGAAACAAATTTTGATTCTTGCCCCATTACAAAGTTGGGTCAATATCATTTCTCGCATGGAGAGTTTTTGACAAAAAAAAAGATTCACTCAAAAGACTAGTGTTTCTATTCATCTATAAATTGAACAAATCCAATAAAAGTGGAATAAAAATTGGCATAACTAAGAAGTTACGAGAAAAACTTTTGCCTAAAAGTTCTGAAATTTATCTTATTTTGCTAATTTCTCATGCCTTCAATAAAGAATACATATCAATGACAATTCTACTCTCCATGATCATAATTATAAAATTTCAATAATGAATTTTATTTTAAACTCGTTTCGCTACATGGTAGCTTAATCAGTTACTGGTACATCTACAATATCTCGCGTTATGTATAAAATTCATTATGATAATTTTATAATCACTATCATGGATGGGGTTATTAATTTTCATCAAGTATGATACAGAAGCAATACTCATAATATGCAATCACATGAAAAAAACCGAATATTATTTCTCAGAAAAAACTACCGGAAGAATATGAAAAAATTCTGAATCTCATGTTTATACTTTTTTAAATCAACTTTGAAAAACTTTTAATATGCATATACATATAAACAGATATTCAACTGAATAATAAACAGAAGTATTTTGCAAATCTCTCATATCTAAAATGAAAATAGGAACGAACGTTTCTCGACATATAACGTTTGATTGAATTTGATTTAATTTCTCGAATATATCTAAAGTAAACAAGTTTGCTAAACATTTCTTCATTGTGTTGTTTTCTGTTTCGAAGGACACAAAAAGCATAAATAAATTTCATATAGAGAAAAATGGGATATTGAAACAGGAAGTACACGTGAATCAATAAATCTTATGCGGAACAAGTGGTGTTGTGAATACGGAAGGAATGAAAAGTGATTGTAAGGACTTTTACAAGAAGGTTCATTGAAGTACCTATTTGACGAGATGAATCACGCACAGATAGAAACAATTAATTTCAATCAAGAATAAATTTCTGAAATACAATTGAGAATTCACGTCTGTAAAATGATAAAATTGGAAAATATAATCTTTCAGGCTTTTCTAGACTGAATTGATATAAGAAGAATAAAAATATCCAAAAACATCAATGAGAACTTTTTTAGAAATAGTTACGAACTACATAAATTATTCAGTTATTCCTTGATATCTTTCTTCTAGAAAATAAAATTCAGAAAGATACGTGAATTTCATACCAAATGAGTCAGTTTTGAAAAATATTTCATTATTCAATTGTGGTTCAATCCTGTTCGAGGAGTCTCATAATTTCAAACGGAAAAAAATCTATCATATATATTTTTCATAAGTCAACAATTTCTGAAAAACTTCATTCAAAATTTCCATTAGTTTATCGTTTTATGTTATTGTCCGAATTGAAATGAAAGGTTGCATTATTTGTGACTGCTATGTGACCACGTTTATGTGGAAATTCGACCATCTTGTTCATTCTATGTGACAGCAGCTGACTGTTGAATTATCACAGATCAAATAGTTCCTATCAACAATATTACATTTGTTCTTCATTATTCCTCAAATTATAAATGAAAATGATATGCTCAAGATAAAAATAATGTTTGTCGTTTTCTAGTAATCGATGAATAATTCAATTTAATAGAAAAATGAATAATGATTATATATGTGTATTTGATTTTCCCAACTCACACAATATGAAATGTGACCAACTCTTTCATTTTTTGGTACGGCGAATAAATATTTAATATTTCGTCATATTATATTTCATACTACTTCAAGTCTTGAACTTGAACTAGTCAGCAGGTAATGATCTATGAAGGACATCTACATCAAAACAGTTTGAGTGAATCATTTTATGAAATCGATACAGAATCGCACATATGAATATTTTTAAGTTCCATGAAGTGAATTGCAGATCAGTTTTTCAAATAATTTTAAATAATTACACTAACATTCCTTCACAGTCATATCATGCGGTATTGATTTCAGAATCCATGTTTTACTAGTATTTCACCTAAAAATTAAAATTCAGTAAGAAGTTTCTTCCAATAAGTTAGTAATGAAATAAGTTAGTAACAGAATATTCTCACTACTGAATTCTACTACACGTTGGGTAGGCGATCTCACTTCTCAATTCAGGTTTCGTTATGTGAGTTTCTACTTTCAATATTTCTGTAACTATACTTCACTTCCGATTTTTACTCATGAAAAAAGGTTATTTATAGTAATCGTTGTTTTATTTACTCAATATACTCATTGGTGAGTTTTTTCTGTAATATCATTCAGAAAGTATAAAGTTTAAGGTTCACTTACCATTCGACCACCACCAAACTCCCAAAATTTTCCTAGGCTGCGAATCATTTTTCTGAAAATAAAATATAGATTAATTCTGCGACAATCAGGAGAAACTTTTGAATTTGCAATTTTCAATCTTGAGAATTTTCATTTTCATATTTAGCGCTATCAGGAGATAACCAAAACTCCTCTCATCTCCTGGTGATCCTAACTTGGTTAGCGAAACACACCCTGTGAGGGGCGCATTGTTGTTCTTGGAAGAGAAAAGTGTCTTTTTTAACATGAGATTTTTTACTGAAATAAACGTTCCGAATATAATTTCCAAAAACCAAACCTTGAATAGCATAGAAAGATATCATCTTCCTTGAAACAATGCAATGCTATCCTATGCTATGCAATGCTATGCTATGCTATCCTGTTGTTGATAAATATTACTGGAGTATTTTCCTAACAGAAAACCGTTATTTCAACACCTCAGCATGTGTTTCGATCACCAAGTGTACATCTTCAAGAGGAAGATCAAGAAGTAATATCGAGTTTGATCTTTCTCTTGAAGATGGTCACTTGGAGGCCGAAACACGTGTTGAGGTGTTAAAATAACGGTTTGGTGTTGGAAAAAAACTCCCGTAATATTCATCACTACACCAAAGGTTCCAAACAGTGCATCACAAGTACTGTTGTTGATAGTAAAATAATCAAAACTTGATTTTATATTCGAAGCAGAAAGCAACAAATTCACGCCGAAGAATGCCTCATGTGTCAGATGTGTCATGTGTCAGATTTAATGAATCACTATTTCAAATAATCTTTTCCATGCAGAGCTTTATCTGTATCTGTAGAGTAGGGAGGGTGAGTGTAAGCCCACGCACTTAGGCCACATATGACCCATTGTACATCCTCCCGAGGAGTTGTCCTCCTAGGTCATCGTCCATCCTGTCCTTTCTAGGAAGGTGGACAGGTCGCTGGGAGACGTCTCCTTTATATCTCCTGTTTGACCCGATTACCTGTGTTGACACGATAACCTGTACTGTCTTGCTTGCTTTTGTCATTATACCTGAATTATCACGGACTGAGTTCTGCTTTTGGGGTTGTGCGGCCTGTTAGATTTTGTGAAGTGACAATATGGATCTCCACGTTGCTCCTTCATAATACTACGTTGGTTTTCAATTTCAATAGCCTCTCTGATTGCTCCAGAGTTATTTTTTTTTGCAAGACTCAACACCAGCACTACAGGAAAATCCCTAAGGCACTTTAAGAGCGGTGCCTTTGGGAAAGTGGCGTTTCTAGGAAGATTTCATTTCTTGCTAGTGTTTTTGTTCTCGAAATTGATGTTGTGTCCTATCGCCAATACGTGTTGGAAGAGAAGACGTAATGACTTTTCCCTTCACTGATAATTTGTGTTCATTTTTGCGAATGTTACTTCGCCTGTTAATCTGACCGATGTTAGTTTTGTTACAGTTTCAGCACGGTACTTCATAAACTCTTTGGAACTCCATTGTTATCAAGATTAGGAATATTGAAGTTAACTCGTACCAGAAATTCTTCATTCACAACAGAAAATTATAAAAATAATTGATACATTACGCATGTGGTGGAATGTACACCACAACAATTGTTACAATAAAATTGCCGGTTATACCAGTTATATCTATTTCAATCCTGGCTAAATGCGCTGCACGAAAGCAATAGCCGAGATAACCTAGAGAGAGAGAGAGATCTATTTCAGGAAGCAAATCTTGTAACGCAGCAAATTCGACGGGTAATGTGTTATAATCTGATTTGACTGCTATTGAAGTTTCATCACCTTTTAAAACACTATCAATTGGTGAGAAATTCTTGAATAGACACATCGGATGAAGAGTTGTTTCGTAATTACAGATGACATCAATATCATAGTAAGAAATAGCCATTGATGTTCTTGTAGTAAGGCATCGTGTTTGCTCTTTATATCCTCTAGTTCAATTCGAAAAGCTTTGTAAAACTGAATTTCACGAGAAGTTTTATCAAAAGAAATGAAAATCCTGCCATTATGAACATTTGTGTCGTCATTCAAACTTTTCGCATTGTGTTTCATTGTACAGTGTTACCTTTTTGTTGCTGTCATACTCGTTCCTTTCTAAACGAAGAGGTCTAATACGTCTAATAAATTTGAAGTACTTTTTTACATTAGTGAATCCCGCAGATTTTTATCTTCTTTGTTTGAATTGGATGCTTTCTTGGGAGTAACAAATATTAGCGTTGTTAGCGTTTTTCAACTCCTTGACTTCTTCCTGATCATATCATGTGAAAACACTGTTCATTTTCAGATACAGATTCACTGAAATATATGTCAAGATCATGACCTTGTTTTCATGGTGACAATTGCAATTCAACACGCCTCTTTTGGATGTAGTTTGTGACTCAACCCCCAGATTTTAGGTATGAAGGTGCATTGACTGCTGCATTAAACATTATTATTACAGATTTACATATCGATCTTTGGCTGAATATGAATATAATTTACATATTGAGTGAGATCATTCGTTTTTTCCAGAGGAACATGAGTTGTCAGAACCTAATGAATGTACTGTACAATATTTTTAATATTGAACGAGGTCTTTTTGAAATCTGAGTGTTGAACAACTGTTCTTATTTCACTTTAATTGCAATTGAAATGGAAGTTTCTCTTCAACTGTATATGTATTATTGTGATATCATACTTCTTCATATTCAACTGTTTAAACATCGATGAGACGAAAACCACTGAAACCAGAGCCCAAAACTAACGCATTTGTGGTCCAATACCGGACAACACTTTTTCGATCTGCCATATGTATCATCTGTGGTGCTGAACTGAACCACAAATGCATTTACGTGGTCAACTGTCCTTGAGGGACAGTTGAGTAATACGAAGAGAGAACTCAATCTTCGAATATCAAAGATAAACGAGGTTGTCACTTGCATAGTCAAACATAGTGAAACCGACACCTGACCAAATTCCTCAAGGGTTTTTCACTGTAGCTTTCACTGCGAGGCATCCAGCTGGAAAACAGAGCTTAAACACAATGCATTCCTTGTTCAATATCAGACATCGCTGTTTTTCACCCGCTTTAGATCTCATCAGTGGTGATAGGCTGAAGCACAAATACATTGCTGGAATCAACTGTGATTAAGGGACAATCCTGAGTAAATGAGGCCGATGACATATACCCTTATCTAGAGGCCATCTATAGGATAGACAGATAACTCAATTTTTGTTCATCTCTGTTATAGGGGTAATGTACTTTCCAGTAATTGGCATAAACCATATGAACGATTAATGTTACACGTTCTCACATCCATTGTCTGAAATAGTGTTAACATATTTTGTGTCTCTGGAAGAAAAGATGAAGTGAAAATGTAATGAATCTTGAAATTATTGAAAATACTAGAAATAATCAAATCAATATATTCAGTTTTGTTGATCAAAAAGAAGTAATGTCAACGAAATTAAATAAGAGAATGGGAAACGTCGCGGTTACGCAAGTTTCTAAACAAAACAACGTATTGTTATGTGACTTGGAATTGAATACCTGTCGTTTCATCTACTACTGTGGTAGACATAATCAAAGGTGATACAGCAACGGTCAAAGTGATCTACCTTGCTGCAAAGCGCAAACTGAAAATGGTCCAGATATATTTGTCCTTATAATGGGACTAAGTGTCGATGGCTGACTTCTTTTGTACCTGATTGGTCTGACTATTCTTCAGTTATTTCATGTGCTGGTATTCATGTCTTGTTGATTTTTGAATCATAGCTAGACAAAATGTACAAAATTAATGGTTACAGAACACGCTTTCTCAGAGAGTAATCATAACATTGCATTCGAACGCACGCAAACAGGCCATAGAAATACATAAATATAAGATTATTTCAATCATGAGAAAGATAGCTTAAACATCAACAAGACAGATACTAGCACTTCATAACACAAAAATTCTCCCAATAATTGAAGAAACATCTGACCACTCAGGTACAAGAGCAGTCGAGTATCCGACACCTAGTCCAATAAAAGAAGGAACGCACCAGAACGATTTTCACTTCGACTGTTGCCGCATCACCTTCGATAATGTCTGCTGCAGTAGCAGACGGAACGTCACCATTAACACCAGTCATCAAAGCCTACACACCATTAACAATTGTGTATTTCATTAGAATTGCCAACCTGCTAAAATTTGACATGTTTGCCAACCTCATAGCACTAAATCGCCGACTCAAAAATATTTGAACGGTTGAAAATATCTCATACAATTTGTTCAATAAAATTCATTTTTATTGAATATAGAAATATAACAGACTGGTAGATGATAGAAATAGTTGTTTGTTTTTTTTGAAATCACCAAATTACACAGAAATTAGAGAAAGATGTTCAACGCAGAAGGACCAAAATTCATTTATTATTATTTCATTATTATCGTTTCATAACTCCTAGCAATTATTCACCAAACTATATATTTGCGAAACACAAATTTTTGGGTCATATTTCAAATGAACTTGTAAGCATTAGGTATTAAAGATAATAACAAATCTACGGCAAGAATAATAATATGCCCGGTCAATTGAAAAATTACAGTGTCTCGAAACATTGTTCAATTGAAAGAAAACTCAACTGCTATATGACTTGCAAGAAAACACTGTTAAAAACTGAACAACTACGAAGTCTATAATAAATAAGTTATCCATATGAAATTGATATCTCACTACTCGGGCTTGTATTCCAAGGCCAATTGAATACAGCAATTCGTTTGTGGTTCAGCCAAATACAACTAACGAGACCTATATTGGATGGAAACAGTGATATATGTGGTATTGTATTTCGAACGCCTTGTATTCCGATTCATAAACAGTGGAATTCGAGGTGTTCTGAGTTGAACCTCAAAACCACATTCCGTCGCATATTTTGATTTGATATGTACTTGTCTTGGTGGAATAAAATGTGCTGAGTCACTTGAACACTCCTCGGAAAAATATCTATAAAAGAGATACAAATCTCAAACATTTTAACTTTGTAACCTATCAAGGTTACAAGGGAGGTTCTTGTCTCCAATCAG